CGACCCTTGGAGACTTAGGCGTTACCGTTTGCGATAGAACTGGGAGTTAACGACACTCTTTTCTTCAGAAAAGCTTCCTTTGAATTTTGGGCCCCCGGGGCAAAAAGGTTTGAAGTTCGTTTTCTGTCTTTTACGGAAGAACTGTTTTTTAGTTGTCTGTAGTTTGTACAGCACTAGAGACTATGACCTGGGAACGAATGCATCGCATATCGTCCAAAGGACGTATACTAAACATTCTAGACGATTGAGAGGAGGCCGCTCAATTATCATTACCCAAGTAGCTTAAGGCTCGTAACGCGCTTATACTAACTTGCCTTTATTACGTTTTTTACTGTTTGTTTGAGATGAGAAGAGAGAACAGGCTCAACTAAGGGGAGGCTATCAAGTCCTAATGTTATCATGCCAAGGTTTCATCCTATGGTTGAGGTTTGAAACAGGGAACTCCTAGAAGTTATCATGCATAGGTTTCAACCTAAAGTTCTAATCGTCACTTCCTTATCAAAGGAAGTGAGATTCCTAAGGGACATGCCAATGATAAACAGAAACAGATGAAGCATCAGCTTAAACAGTAAACAATAAACGACTGCAAAATGCATGCAATGCAAGTGAGGGAGGAAATGTGTGTGGGGCATCAGCCTCCACAAGCTCGTCTCGACCTCAAGCCAAGTATGAATAACTGCAATCATCAATGAAAGTAAAATTCCATCAAGCAAATCATAAACCACACAAACAAGGGAGCAGAGCTCTACCGAATACCCGCAAGCAAAGCCATACAGTAACAATACAAGTAGAGGGAGCAACTCAACCTCTAATGCAATCATGCTCCTAGCTTAAAACAATATAATCATGAACTTTTTCTAATGCATCAAGAAAATCAAACAAGTCACATCAATACAGTTGCACAGAAAGAAAACAGACAGTCAAGAAAGCAAATCAACAGCTTCCACAGCTTCACAGCAAAGCAATCCTCTGACAGCAGTTCAGTCCACAGTCTGTAACTATTCTTCAAGTATATCCTCTTCAAGAGAATTAAAGGTAATCCATCTTCAAGCTTCAATCTTCAATAGGCTCCACCAAGAATGAAGAGAATAATCATCAGGGAAATTGGTTGATAATGGGAAGCAGACAGTAAACCAAAGGAATCCTGTCTGACACTCAACCAGTCATCAGAGAAAGGCATCCTCAAAAGTTCTACTCATTGTAAATGTCACACATCCCTCCAAAGGAGAGATGATACTTAAACATGAGGACTTTGAATCATAGGATGAGAATGGAATGGGAGCCAAACCAACTATTATTTGAAGAAATATCTATTTCTAAAGCTCTTTCCTAAAGCCCTAATTTCCTAAGCTATTCAAAGCTAACAAAAAAGGAAGGAAATCTTCAATCCAAGCTCCACTAGCCACTTCACACAAGCTCCATCAAGTTTATGATGTCCTCCAATGAGATCCAGAAGCCCACTATGCAAGGAAGTCCAATTTTAAGCCCATTCCACATCAATCATCAACATTGATACACCAAATGAACACACAAGTTTGAGGAGTTGGCTCAGTATTGTCCCAATTACAATACTGAGGAGGCTATGACTTCTAAGTGCTTGAAATTTGAGAATGGGCTGAGGAATTAATTTGGAAACATGTTTTGTGAAATTCTGAAGTGAATTGTGAAATCCCGTTTGGGAGAGGAACTCTGATATGTGTTTATTTTAATTGTTTTATTTTGTTTTGGGGAACAGGGTGTTACAATTTTCCCCAATCCCGTAGGAATTGATGAACATGTTTGATGTGTTGTTGTTATTTTAGTTGTTGCTGGTAAGATAGGTTTGTTGCATGTGATTGTGGAATGATGGTTTGGATGATTTGGGGTTTCCGGGTAGTTTACCATTTTAAGCCAAAATTGATTTAATCGATAGAGATGATGTTTTATCGGGTGGAATCTAGAATAGATTATGTAGCTAAATCGCAGAATGTTGAACTAGTACTGTGGGAACTGGTTTGAGTAAATCAGGCGATTTTTGAGAGTTTTGCCGATTCTGAACAGTGGGGTTTTTGTCAAATCACAGACATTCGCCAGCACTTTCGCTACGCGAGCGAATAGCGAGCATTCGCTGATGCTTCGCTAGGCGAACTGGGTAGCGAGTGCTTCCAGTAGCTAGTGTCTGCCTTCGCTAGGGAATTCGCTGGGCGAGCAAGTAGCGAGCATTCGCGGATACTTCGCTAGGCGAGTGAGCCAGCGAGCATGATAGTAGTTTGTGTTTTTGTGTGGTTCTGTATTGTTCTCTTGTGTTGTGGGACCCTTGTTGGTCATGATTAAATATAAGATTGGTGATGAACAGTTAAGAGTGTATGTGTGGTGTTGGAATGTGATTTCCATGTTATTCGTTTAATTAGAATAATTAAATTGGTGTATGTTATTATGTATGAATGTGGTGATGCATGGAATATGTGTGTGCGATGTATAAAATGGGATCAGGAGGATCGTGTGCACCTTGTGTGCTTGAATTGTTGTTGTGCATTAGTGTCGTGCATATCATGATGTTTTGGTGGGATGGATCATGTCTCGGATGGAGCGTAAGTGATCCATCCGTACTCCTTTGTGGAGGATGGTGGGGTTGAATCATGTCTCGGATGGAGCGTAAGTGATTCACCCGTACTCCTGTGTGGAGAATGGTGGGATATATCATTGTCATTGGTGGGTGTATGTGATCTATCCGGTGCTCCCTTGTGGAGGGTTGATGGTCAGGTGTCCATCGGTGATATTGAGTCGGTACGGCATATCATGGTGTTGAGTTGCATATTTTTGCATTGTCTTGTGTGATGTGTTGGTGTTGGACAGTAGGTCCTGGTTGATGTATGTTAAATGATGTCCGTATGATTGCTACCTTTTATTCATGTATATTATTATCGCTATATTTTGATCGTGATTTCTCACCCCTTTTATTGTTGTTGTGGTCTGTGCTTCTTCGGAAGTACAGATAATCCAGGTGCGTAGCTAGCTTGGATAGTGGTGGGTCGAGTCGTAGGGATGCTCTGATACGTAACACGAGGCTTTTGGAGTTTATTGTTTTCTGATGATTTTGTTTTACTCCGTGGCGTATCATGTTTTGTTGGAATCTTTGGTGAATATTTTATACATCTTGGGCGGATGGCCGAATATGATGTATATATGTATATATGATATTTTCTGCTGTTTACCGTCGAAAATCATTTAATGAAGTATTTTGTTGAGTTTCTTTTGTGATATCCCGCTTGGTGTGGTAACTCTGATAATTGCTTGATTTAATTGCTATTTATTTTATTATTTATTATATTTTGGGGAGCGGGGTGTTACACGACACGTGGGTGACTGAAACCAGTCGGGTAAGATTTGAAGACCGTTGGACTATTCGAAGGGAGTGTTGTAGTCGAAGGTTTAATCACTGCGTTCGAAGGACTTGATTCAACTTGAATCAAGGGGCAAGAAGAAATATGCTCTACTTCAACAAATTGTTTTCGCTTGTTTGATCTCTATTTGTTTCTTGTATAAACATTGACCAACAGGTTATATCTATCTATATACAGGTCTCAATTCTATTGTTAGAATTGAGGGCAGACGTACCCCGAGCGAGGACGACGGGGGAACTGCCTCAACAAATCGTTGTCTCTTTCTTTACGTTTATATTGCTTAAATTCTGAGTTTTAAGTGCAAATAATTGTGTCAATCAAATTATGATTTGAGTAATGTTGAATTATCTTTAAGCTTGTTACAATCCTCGATTGTAATAGAACACTTGAGCACTCTATTCTCAAAATAGAATTCACTTGTAGTGCCTTTCACTTCAAGTGTTTGATCGTGTGAACTAAAAAATATTGTGCTGTCTTTTTAAATTGTCTATATTTTAAAAGCATTGGACCTAGTCACACCTTATAGTGAACAAAATCTGATTGAAGTGTGATCAAAGTAGTGATTCTCAAATCTCGTTTTATCGAATTCCATAGGCTTTACGCATATCTGGTTTTTCGGTAAAGGTTCGTTTTAGACGAATATAGTTCCTCGGCCGTTTCCGTCTTAAACTTTTTTAAAAACCAATTTTTAGTAGCGTCGACTCTGTTTTAAACAAACGATCTATTCAAACCCCTTCTAGATTTGCGCCTTCGTCTAACATATTGAACTTCAACATCAAAAGAGCACAAAGAGTTGAAACTATCACGTCTTAAATTATTAAGTCTATATAGAAATTCTTTATGGAAATCTAACAAGTCGGGGAAGGCTAGATGAGATGGTTCAAATAGTTCATGGTGGGTTGGTTCAACTTAAGGTTTGAGATGGTGTGGAAGATAAAGATACGCCAGGTTCAAGAGTGGCATGAAGTATTATGACAGTTTGAGTGGGAACAATGGACTCTTATATTTTGTTTAATCTCAGATTTTCGCGTTAAGCATTTCACCTTCTTAAGTCTCGTGTTAGGCGGATTATGGACCGACTTATTAAGCATTTCACCCTTTGAGATCTGTGGACTGTCATATTTTTACCATAATATCGGATCATAACTTTTCTACTAATTTCTCCACTAACTCCTTATGAAATTCATTTTAAATAGAGAGGTAATGGAGAACAAAGGAGAGATTCAACCATACACACACCGGTCCTTAGTTTAGGCCTACCGTCGAGCGAGATACTCTTTATATATGTCAGGCAAAACAAATAGATTATCCAATATCCATACAGACAAATTACAAAAGGATAACTCTCATCTGCATTGTAGTAAAATAATGATCCGTTTAGCAAGAGTATATACTATGGCCGGTCCATTATTTTGTTGCTTTACATGACAAAATAATATTTAGAAATATGTAAGGTTATGTACTTTGAATCTTTCAGCTTTGTTTGTTTTTCTTGTTCTATTTCGTTTGACCATTTATTAAACATCATAGTTTAAAATTGGCTTTTTGTGTCTGTTAAAGAAAAGAGCTATACCCACCCACTCTAACATTGCATAGGGGAAAAAAGGCATATCAGAGATGAATAACTTTGCAGAGAGAAAACCACATGCAGTGTTAACTCCATATCCACTTCAAGGCCATATCAACCCAATGTTACAACTAGCAAAACTACTTCACCTTAGAGGCTTTTATATAACCTTTGTAAATACTGAATACAATCACAAACGCTTGCTCAATTCAATGGGTCCAAAAGCCTTTGATGGTTTCACTGACTTTGACTTCGAAATCATCCCAGAAATGAATGGTGATGGTCATGTTAGCCAAGACTTGCAAACTCTTCGCGAATCAATCAGAAAGAACTTCATCAACCCTTTTCGTGAGCTTGTCGCTAGACTTGATGACTCTGCCAAATCTGGTCTTATACCTCCTGTTACATGCTTAGTTTCTGATAGTTTCATGTCAGTTACCACACAAGTTGCAGAAGAACTTGCACTCCCAGTCGTTCTCCTTGTCCCATCTAGTGCTTGTTCTTTCTTGTCTGCTTTACACTTCCGTACACTTATTGAGAAAGGTGTCATACCACTCAAAGGTAACAACAATCCATGCTCCTCTTATATCCTGAGAGTAGTGTGTGCGCACACGTGGTTTAAACAAATGCTGCAACAATTCAAGTTAAACATTAAATTTGTGATGTCTTCATGATTGCATTTGAGGTTGTATTTAGTTGTAAATTTATTTATAATGTCAAAATCGTGACGCTGGTGCCAATAATATTAACTTTTAAAATTAATATATACAGATGAGCGTTATCTAACAAATGAATATTTGGATGCTAAAGTCGATTGGATTCCAGGTTTGCAAAATTTTAGACTCAAGGATCTTCTTGCTTTTATAAGGACAACAAATCCTAATGATTTGATGATAGAATTTATCATTGAAGTAGTAGATAGATTTCAAAGAGCCTCTGCTATTGTTTTCAATACTTGTAATGATCTTGAGAGTGATGTTATGAATGTTCTATATTCTATGTTCCCTTGTTTATACACCATTGGCCCTTTTGCTTCTTTTTTAAATCAATCTCCACATAATCACTTGGCATCTTTAGATTCCAACCTTTGGAAAGAAGACCCCAAATGCTTTGAATGGCTAGATTCGAAAGAACCTGGGTCTATTGTTTATGTGAATTTTGGAAGCACGACGGTTATGTCTCTAGAAAAACTGTTGGAATTTGCTTGGGGTTTGGCCAAGAGTAAGAAACCATTTTTGTGGATCATTAGGCCTGATCTTGTCATTGGCGGTTCGGTAGTTTTTTCATCTGAGTTTGTGAATGAAATTTCAGATAGAGGCCTAATTGTTGGTTGGTGCCAACAAGAGAAAGTGTTGAAGCACCCTTCCATTGGTGGATTCTTAACTCATTGTGGATGGAACTCGACGATTGAAAGCATATGTGGTGGAGTGCCGATGTTGTGTTGGCCATTCTTTGCTGATCAACCAACAAACTGCAGATACATTTGTAAGATATGGGAGATTGGGATTGAAATTGACAGCAATGTTAAAAGAGGAGAGGTGGAGAAGTTGGTGAATGAGTTGATGGTGGGAGAGAGAGGAAAGAAGATGAGGGAAAAGACAAATGAGATGAAGAAGAAAGTAGAGGAGGATACTAGACCTGGTGGTGGTTCATACATGAATTTGGACAAACTCATTAAGGACGTGTTGCTTAAACAAAATCAAACTTAAATTTTGGGAACCCAATTTCAACAAAATCAAACTTAAGGAGGTGTTGCTTAAACAAAATCAAACTCAATAGTATTGGAGCTACTTGTAAGTTGACATCAGGATTTCATGCGAATTTTACGATAAATTTCATACAGATTATTGTTTTGCAGTAAATTTTTCAAAAATATCCTAAATTTTATCATCCCCTACTATTACCCCGATTACCCATGTGGTTTTTCCACAAATAATAGTATTCATATTTTAATTTTCTCACAAACCCCATTAATCTTCTTTTTAAGTGAAATCATATGTATAACATGGTACAAGACGTGTCTGAAAGTTAATTTCCTAACAAGAGTGTTTTCCAAAATTTATAAAATTTGGGAGAAATAATGAAGAACACCCTTATGAATTTCTTGGATTTGAGATACTGAAGAATGACTTTGAGTTTATTGTGTTGGGTTGTTGATTTTATTTGAGATGGATATAACTTTTCTTTTAATTATTATTTGTTAGTAATTTTTCATTTTTTTAAAATATAGTTTGAATTAATAAATAAAAGTTAGTATATTTTTCAATTAAACTTAAATAATTTAATTAAATTATAATTAATAATCACATGAATTTATTTTAGTCTAGATAAGTCTAAGAAAATCAAATCACCATTTGAGAGAGAAATATCAGATTGAGAAAGAAGATGAAGTGAGAATTTCGTTCATTGATTCCTAATGAAAAGTAGTTGCAGATTTATATTTATAGTTGGCAAAATACAATTTTTCTTCTCTTGACTTTGCATCGGGGTTCATTTTAGTCCCTTAATTTTTAAAATGTTCAAATCGATTCCTTAATTATTTAAAATGGACCACGTTCGTTCTTCCGTTTATTTCCGTTAGTGAGGGTTTAGAAAGAATGTCCATGTGGCTTTGACGTGGCTTCAACGTCATTACGTGGCTTTAACATGTTATATGTTATGCTTTTGTGAACCTTGTCATTTTCAAAAAGTCAAAGGAAGGAACGTTGAAGGTGAAAAGCATTGTGCAGAGAAGAACGTTAAAGGTGAAAAGCATCGTTCCAGAAAGTGTGGTCTTTCGAGCGAAAGGTTGAAATCATTGTTGCAAATAGGTTAGAAAGTTGTTCCTTTGTATGAGTTTTACATGTTTTCAATCTGAGAAATTAAAGTTTTTTTTAAAAATTAGAGCTTTGCATGTTTTCAATTTGAGAAATTAGGGTTTTTAATAATATCGATTTTGAACTGACTAGGTGTAATGGACGAGTCTATGGTGCTAAGAATTCATCATAGTGGTGAATTCAGTGATGGTGGTCTTAAAGTATATGAAGGAGGGAAAGTTGATGAGCTGAAAGTAGATGTGTACAGATGGAGTTACTTTGAGATTATAGGTTCACTGAAGGACTTAGGTTATAGGGATTTTGATAAAATCTATTACAATGACCCGACATTTGAGATGATTTCATTGAATGATGATGCAGGAGCATTAGAAATAGTTGATCTTTACAGGGTTTACCTAGGTGTAGACACATTCAACACAAACTTGATCATCCTAATTACTATGATAGGCATGTAGAAGCAAAATTAGAAAATGGTGACAATGCCAATGAGGAGCCTGATGTAGTTGAAGAAGTGCTTTCTAAATTGTATGAAGAAGCAGTCAATGAAAATGATAAGTTCAAAGAAGTTGAATATGTTGGTTTGGATCGGCTATAGAAACAAAATTGGATGCTCTAAATGTTGGTTTGGATGCTCTAAATGTTGGTATGGAAGGTGGTGAGGTGGATGATGCTATAAGTAGTGATGATAGTGAGGATTCTTTGTACAAGTATGATAGCGCTCTAGAGGTAGCTTTTTATGATTCTTTTGATGGATTTGATGATATAGATGAAGATGAGTTGGCAAACCTACTTGAACATGAACAGCTTGAAGATGGACAATCTAAAAAACAAAAAGAAAAGTGGGAAGAACACAAGGGTGAATTTAAAGTGAGTGGTAATGAAAGTGATGAGCTAGTGAGTGGATGAGATAGTTGTGGTGTTCAAAAAATGGCTCACCCAATGTTTAAGATGCAAATGGACATGGCTGATTTCAAATGGGAGGTAGGTGTGTACTTTAGTTCAAAAGATGATTTTAAGTATGCAGTAACATCATATGTTGTCCATAGTGGTAGAAATATTAAGCTCAGTGAAAATGGCAAGGTAAGGGTGGGGGTTAAATGTAATCATGGCTGTCATTTGGAAGCTTATTGTGCCAAATTGTCAAATGAAGAAACTTGGCAATTAAGGAAAGTGAATGATGTACATAGTTTTAGGGGAACTAACAAATGTGGTGTTGTACTCAATAACATGTCAGAATCTTTCAACAGTGTTATTCTTGAGTCAAGGTCCAAACCCTTAGCCACCATGGTGGAAGAGATCAGAACATATTGTATGGAAAGATGGGAAACAAATAGAATAAGTTTTCAAAACCTACTTGATGATGGTGTCTTACCTGATATTATAAGGAAGGTTGAAAAAATCAGTAGTTACACCAACTTAAGGATTGTGAGGTATCTCTCTTGTGTGCCAAATTATGACCTTTATATTATGTATTCTATTGTCTCTTGTGTTGAACTATCTTCATATGTTTGTTAATGCAGGATGTCTGTTGAACATATATTTGAGGTTAGGCATGTTGAAAATGTTGCAGGCATATTTGTTGTGGATTTGAAAGAAAGGGTATGCTCTTGTAGAATGTGGGACCTAATTGGACTACCATGTGTTCGTGCATTGTCATGTATGAAAAGTTGGAACTTCAAGATTGAAGAATACATCCCTGATTATTATAGGAAGTTAATGTACATGCGTGAAGGTATATTACCTATGATTTATCCTGTAAATGGATCAAATCTATGGGTGAGAACTGAATATCCAGATGTGCAACCTCCTAAATATAGAAGGATTCCTGGAATACCAAAGAAGAGAAGAAATATTGAGAAAGGGGAGCTGGATGGGACTGACAAAAAAGATGAGGAGAACAGGGTTTGGTGTAAGGTGTGTAAGAACAAGATTTGGTTCTACATATGACCTTTGAGTTTTAATGATAACTGCACATGTTATCTAAGAGAACAATTATGTATGATATGGTTTTTTTCTAGTGTGTGACTGTTGTCAATATGATCCTGAATCTAATAAGAAGACGTGTGACGTCATCAGACTCTGTTATCAACACTCTGGAAGAAAACATATGTGTGTACAAGATAAAGTCAAGACTCATGAATGTTTTTTATATAACGGTTCTAATGAACGTTAGTTCTGGACATTCTAATTGAAGCTTTATGAGAAAATCCTATAAGGATTTCTAACATGATGCGCTTCTAATGTTACAAGTTCTGAAGATTTTGAAGACGTTATTCAGGTGAACATGGTTCTGAAGATTCTAAAGACACAATATTTGAACGTCAAGTTCTGGAGAGTTTCTGAAGACAAGGTTCAGGTGAACGAAATACTGAAGACTCTAAAGACAAGAATCTGCTTAATGAATTTTGAAGACTCTAAAAACAAGGTTCTGAAGATATTACTTCCAAAAGAACAAGTGCTGAAGATTTTCAAGATAGTTCTCCTGAACAAAGATCTTGGAATTCTGAAGACTGGGTTTCTGAAGTTGCAAAGAATTGACACTTCTAAAACATGTTTCATCAATATTTTATTTGAATCCACTGAAGACATTAGAAAGACTGAAGATAAGAATGGTTTTGATCTGAACACAAGAATACAAAAATTGTGATCTCTATCTCGATAAGGTGGCGTAATGTCGCGGTGAAATTTGGATACCAAACTATTAATTAGTTTGAATCTTTAATTCAATTTGCAACCGAACATTGATTTGTCCAAAGGAAGGGATAAAGATCGAAATTCCCACAATGCAATGCAAATGCAAGCTAGAGAGTTTTAGGTTCGGGGGTCGGTTAAACTTAGGGAAGGTGCTAGCATCCTAAGTTTCTGTAGTACTCTACAGGAACCTCTTGTTTTATTTGTTTATTGCTAAGTGTTTACCTGCTTAAGGGTTGAAAGACCTAGGGATTTGAGGAGTTCTTTGACTGTGGTCAAAGTTCCTACGGGTTTAGGGTAGTTGTTTGATTGATTTTAGGAGAAGAGATTAGTTGTCATTTTAAGGGAGATTTAACTGCCACAAGTTGTAGGAATGTAGTCTTTGCATCATCGTAAGAGAAGGGCTCAAGTATTCGGATAGGGATCGACGAGGTACACCTTTATCTATCTTAAGGAAAAGTTCCTACGGTATTGACTGTATTGATGTGGGGTGGAGATTCTATCTCGCTTAAGATGATTTGGCATCTTTCTCTAATGTGTTTGAATGTTGTTTGATTTGAGTTGTTGAATGTTTGTTCTAAGTTGTAAAGATAATGGCCCTTCCTATGGGGTAGGATCTATCTTAAAGATCGACTTGAATGGGATCAAGGATCATGTGGGAGAATGATGCAAATGATGTGCACTACACACAATTGTTGAATCATGTGTAGGGTTTTCCTTTGGACGGATGCGATGCGGAAAGTAAATTACGATAATATAAATGCGGAAATATAAAGTTGCGAATAAAGTAAAGGCAGATAAATAAACATACATGTACGCATCAAAGCGCTGAAGTGTGTGAGGGTGAATGTGTCGTGAATGTGAGTGTGCACGATTAGATGTTGATTTATTTTAGGGGATTGATTTGAAGAAGGTGGTTGAATTTTTTTTGGTTGAGAAAAAGTTGGATTGGTTTTAGAAAAGTTGCTAGTTTATTTATTTAATAAAAGTTAGGTTGCTAATTAAAAGGTTTTCTTAAGTTATCAAAATTTAGTTTAATAAGTGAGTATAAATTATTTAAATTATTTCTTGTTATGAAAAATTGTTTTATTTTGTTTAAGTTATTATAAAAAGGGTGAGTTGGTCACTTAATTATATTATTATTTTTTTTTAAAAGTTGAGTTAATTGATGAAGTTGATTATGAAAGAGTTGTTTTAATTTT